TAACCAGCATTGATTATTTGAGTACGTTTAGAGATTAATTCAAGATTAAAATAATAAAAAAGCCTTAGAGCTTTATCTATTTGTTTAGATAAATTTTTATATTTTTATTATATTTAAATAAATCTTGAATTTCAACTTTAAATCAGTTTTTGACTTTTAATTTGTATTCAAATAATTTTTTAATTTTTAATTTATATTTAGATAAAATTTTAACATAAATTAATATTTTATTTGAAATAAGAATTAATTTATATACAAATTAAAAAATAAAGATTTATTTATGTATAATAAATAAAAAATTATTTGATACATTGACAGTAAATTTTTTTAACTTTACAAAGACGATTAAAATAATAACACGTCTTTTATATATTTAAAAAAATTAATTAAAAAATAGTACATGTATTATCATTTAAATCTTGTTTATGGAGTTAAAAAATTTCATTATCTGTATATTAAATAATTTCTCTAATAAACATATAAAAACTTTTTTTTTAAATGACATAATTAAAAGATTTTTTTTTAGTATTTTAACCTTAATTCAACAACACCTGTTGTTTCCCACATAACTATTGGACTATTGTTGCTTTTAAGAAGAATCAACATCGGCAAAATGCTATAGGAAATTTCGTACATAGGTATGGCGGAGTTTTTAAAAATTCAATATTAAAATGAGTTTTAAAAAATTAATAAATTACTAAATGAAATAGATAAACATGTCCACTAAGATTTACAAGCTACAAAGTGTAATGCATATATCTTGAACTTGAAGATGAATGAGCATGCTATCGTTGACTTTTGTTGACCTTTCGTATAGTGATATAATGGTTGCTAGGTTGTGATGTCATTGCCAGCGACGCAGAATAGATGAACAAGAGCGAGAAACGTGGCAAGTTTCATCTAAGCGATATATGTAGTAAAGAGTTGAGGTAGGCGAGATCTCGCTGCGGTGACAAAGATCGTGCAAAAAGCTGCCATTTGAGGAACAGTTCCAATGATGATCGCAGTATTGGAAATGGTGTTGGCAGGAGCTATGCACGGGTTAACCATATGTGGGTTGCCTCGACGATAACCCACCTCGGAATTACATGTGGCTAAGCCAGGGACGTATTGCCAATGTGTACATTGCATAGTCATCGCAACAGAACTGGACCACTGGTTAGACCAGTTCAATCTATGATTCAACACCTAAATCAATTCGATTTTATTATTATATCAAAGTTGTAATTCATTCGTTTCAAATCATATTAAATCAACAATTTAATTAATAAATCAGTGAATCGCTTTAGTTTTTATTAAATTGGACCGACTTTAAATTTGTTAATAAAATGATCTAAAAAATTATTATTAGTTTAATTGTTACAATTAAAATTATAAATTATTATATTATTTATTTAAATAATAAATTTTAAAGTAAAATTAAAAATTAAAATCTAAATAAAATAGTGTTACCCTTTCCTGACCTTAAACAGGTCAGATTGAAAGCCAAATTAAAAATATGGATCGTATTAATGAATCCGAAACAAATTTAAGATATTCCAAGTGTTTACACAGTTAATTTTTAAATTAATTGAATAATAAAATATATTTAAGTTAAATTATATTTTAAATTTTAAATTTTTAATATTTGAAATAAATTAAATAAAATTATCTAATAAAATATTTAAATATTAAAGTATTAAATTAATAATTATAATAACTTATAAAATGAAACAATTTATTTCATATATTTTTATTTTTTATTCAAGATTTGTTATATTTTGATTAATTATTTAATTTGATTTTCAAACCAAATTAATTGAAAGTTAAAATTTCACTAAAATCTTTTCAACAACTTACTAAAATTAATTTGATGGCTGATTGATTAATAGAATTAATTTGATTAAATCGATTAATTGGATTAAAATCAAATTGCTAAAACCATGCAATCGAATTTTTAAGGGCAACTCAACAATTGATTACCAAATGACAATAAATTTTTTTTTTTTTGTTTTGATAGAGAATCACGTGAGAAAAAAAACATTGAAAGAAATGAGAGGTTTATTTATGAATTTAATAATATGATAGAATTACAAACAATTATCTCAAGAGAGAGGTTGAACCTGTTCAAAAATTGAATTATTTTTTTAAATTTAAAAGTTCATTTGAAATTTGAAAAAAATTGAACATAAATATTAAGTTCATAGTTTGAATTTAAATTGAAAAGCTTGTTAAAAAAATAGGTAGGGCCTTACATGTAAGGCCCATGTTTGATTTGGTATGGCACAAATAATTATTATATATATTTAATAATTATAATTATATTACATAAAATAAATAAATATGTTCACATTAATACCTTATACCTACATGTATCAATTTAATTTAAACACTAAATTAAATTAGTAAAGTCATTTTTTTAGGTTTTATTTTGTTGATAATTTATTTTTTACAATTAATTTTTAGTATAATTTTTACTTCCTTTTTAAAAAATTTTGAATTTTTGGTGGGCTTGGACAAGCTTAGACAACTTCTTTTAAAATTTAGATGGGCCTAAACAATAAATTAAATTTATATTTTGAGTCGATCATATCAAAGCAAATTTGAATCTTATTAGTATTTTATTTAAGTGCAATTTAAATTTGATCTAACCTAATTCATAAACAAATCTAAAAGAAGTTTTGAAAATTTTAAAGTTCAAGTTCAACTTTCACTATGTAAGCTTGATCTACGTTAGAGTTTTTCTAGTACATCTTTATTCTAAGGATGGCTCTAAGATGCTCTAAGATTTATACTAAGTACGGAGAGATTAACCAATTTTTGTAATTTCACATAAAAATATAAATTAAACTAGCTTTTTTTATTTAAAAACAAATTCCATTAGGACACAATTTGTATTGGGTACTCATTATAATACCAAAATATAAGAAAATTTTATTTAAAAAATGTTAACAAAAATATATAAAAAGTGATTTTTCATATAAAAATAACCTTTTTTTTACAACTTCTAAAACATTTTTCATAGTTCGAAAACTAGTATATAGTTTTTTTTTTTTTTCCATAAACCCCATATTAATAGGATCATTAGCTTAAGTTAACCTCTATGTAGAGATATTCAACTTTGAGGCTATTCCAGGCCTACAGGCCTGGCTCGCTTTGGGTTTGAGTTAATATAAATCTTTAAATACCTGAATTTACCTCGATTTTTGTTAGATTTATTTTATTGATTTATTATAAGTGAGATAAAACTATGATTTATTATAATTCTAAGTTTTATTTGTAACTTTTAATTTCAAAAAAATTGCTAAATACAAAAGAATTGTTATATCAAAACCTATTTTTCAATTAAGTAACCTAACAATCGACTTTATATATATATATATGTATATATTTATGCCAAGTACGTAATAAAGTTCTTCATTGAAAATGCTTACAAAAAAAATTATTTTGAGAAAAAAAACTTATGTATTTACAAAGTTTAGTGAAAAATTAATAATATTTAAAGGAAAATATTAAAAACATGCAATTTATAATTAAAATTTGATCAATATTTATTTAACAATAATAATTTTATAAATTTTTTAATAAAAATAGTTATATTACATTACAACTTATTAAAAACTTTTTAAAATTTAGACATTAAAACTATGTAACAATACATTTCAATTTATCAACTTAGATTTTTTTTAATTATAATTTTTCATTCAATTGTTTTTAATAAAAAAAAAACTCATGAATTTAACATAAAAATGTTATTTAATTCTTTCCCTTTAACATTTGCTTATAAATTGTATTATACTCAAAAACTAGATTATAACTTGTGCGATGTATGAAATAATTTTTCTATGTAATATGAATATATATACAAATTAGTTTCTTTTTAAAATTATATTCAAAATTTTAAAACTCATAACATATATAAAATTTATATATATTGACTTGTCATTAAAAATAATTTTTTTGAAAATAGCAAAAAAGAATTATGTTTTCTTTGGATATTTTTGTTTACAATAATATTTATATATTTGTAAAATTATATCAAATAAAAATAAATTATGTCTTTTTTTAAAAAATAAAAAAATATATTATTGAATGATAAATTAAATAATAAAAGAAGTATTAGCACACTTTCACTTTAGTAATCTTGACTAAATTATTATACAAAATATAAAAAATATGTGAAAATATGTGAAAAAGAAAAATTAAATTGAAAAAAATAATTTTTCATAAGAATGAAACTATAATAACAATAAAATATATCTTAGAAAAAAATTATAAACAAAAAAACTGCAATAGTAATTGAATATACCTTAAAAAAAGTTACTAAAAAAATTAAAAAAAATTGATGTATAACACATTACATTTGTAGTGTTAAATAAAAAAAATATTAACATATTTTCACTTTAGTAATATTGACTAAATTATTATATAAAATATGAAAAATATTAGAAAATGTGACAAAAGAAAAAATAAATTGAAAAAAAATTTAAAAGATAATTTTTTAAATCAAGATAAAAAAGATTGTTGAAAGATTTGGATAAATTTAATCTTTGTAATTGTTTAAACATGTTTGAAAAATTTTGATAATTAAATAATTTTTTAAATAAGGTTATTTAGTAAACAACTAAAATTATTTATTAAAAAAATAAAATCCATATTTTATATTTTTAATTTTAGAATATATATCTCTAACTTAATTTGATTTTTAATTATAATTTTAATAATTTTGATTTTGAATAAATTTAAAATTATTTGATTTGTAATTAAAAGAAATTATCTTATTCTTTTAAAAAATTATATTATGTGTTATTTAAGAGAGTTATCTACTTAAATACCTATATGACAAACCTATTTATATATATTATTAAATAATATATATTTTAGATTAGAGTTCATTCTTCTTGAATTGGTTCCTTTAGTAGGATATAAAAGCAGCGATCTTTGTTTTTCTCCTATTGGCCTAGTGGTTAAGAGGTATTATGAAAGACATGTGAGCGTGACTTTTAACATCGTCATCCTTCTTTCCCTTTATACGAGCGTTTGCCCTCTTTTGAGAAAAAAAAAAAATAGCAATCTTTACACAGCTGGGAGGCATCGCACGTGGCAGTCTCAGCCTGAATTAAATTTTGATGCCCTATGCATGGCACATACGTCACACTAATCTAAGCCACTTCTCACCCCTTTACTCTTTATAAACTCACTTCTTTCTTTAACTACTCCACCCTCAAATCATACCAAAATCATACACACTATTCTCCGCCTTTTACATAGTCTTCCCCATGGCAGTCTCCGTTGATCCTCTCGTTGTTGGTCGAGTTATTGGCGATGTCGTCGACATGTTTATTCCTACTGTCACCATGTCTGTCTACTATGGTTCCAAGCATGTCACCAACGGCTGTGACATAAAGCCATCTACGGCAATCAACCCTCCTAAAGTTAGCATCGATGGCCATTCTGATGAGTTTTATACTTTGGTTCGTTATCTCAATTTTTGAATTGGAATTGGGCTATCTTCGCTGTTTAGTGTTTACCATATACGCATGAAATTTATCAAGATTTTCTTTGGATCAGTTTTGTAGCCTTTTTCCGTCATTTCTTTGAGAGAGGCTATGATCATTTCATGCATGTTGATATCTGGGTCTGACAATTGATGCTGATGATTCAAACAGGTGATGACTGACCCCGATGCTCCAAGTCCCAGCGAACCAAGCATGCGTGAATGGATTCATTGGTCCGTCTATGTTTCTTCCTTTTCATGGTTTTTCTTTCTTTTTTGGGGTAATTTTATAAACATGTTCTTGATCATTTCGTAAAACAACATCCAATTGTTTGCTTTTCTTCCACTTTCAGGATCGTTTCAGACATTCCTGGTGGAACCAACCCCACTCAAGGTAAACAATAGGAGTCTAAAATAGCATACTTTCTAGTATTATGTTATGTCTATCAGATTTTTAATATTGGATATATTTAACTTTTTATTTTCAATTTACTATGTTATAAATATTTATAACTTAAAATTGCTGATAATTTAAAAACTTTTCATTCAAGTATTTATAAACCTAAAAAAATTAATATTAAATCTTAAATAAAGAAAACAAAATTTTGAAAAAAGTTTTAAGAGAAAGTTTTTAGTTTATGGGATAGAGCAGCCGAGTGAGCATTCTTGTTTTCATAAGATTGGTTACTTTGATTCTGTTTTCCTTCTCTGATCAGCTTCTCCGAGATCCAAAGAAACCAATTTTTATATAAAGTAGCATTAATCTTGCATGCATGCATGCATACAACACTACAATCTTTTGTGGAGACGCATTTGAAAACTGAACCTCTGTATAGATGGATGAAGAAGAAGCAAAAATACGGATAAGTGCTTTGAATATTTAGAATTTAAACTTTTGTGAAATAAAAAAGTTCTATTTTCATCCGATAGTGGATTATTTATTTTTTTACTTTTTTGTTATTAAAATGGGGTAAATTTAAATGAAAGATAAAGCAAAATATTGTATTTTTAGCAAATTTAGGCATTTTATTAATATATTCGAGGATCAGAAACAATTCTTGCATGCATGCCGCATCCTAGGCAATAATGCTGAGAACGTCTTAACTTTTGATAAGAACAATTAGGGCCTGCACTTAAACATTTGCACCACCACAATTCCTCTTAGAAATGTGCTAAAGATCCAATAGTACCTTAACAAATGCTCTCCAGCAGCAAAATTCTCTTACATGACTGTTAAAGCCCATGTCTTGGCTCTTTATTTCTACACCCAATATTGTCCCTTTGCCCCTTTCTCAATCATCACCTTTTTGACAAATGGTTAGTACATTGAACAACAAGTATCAGCTCATGTATGTGGTGACGTCCTTGCACCATTGTCAGAATAGACCAAAAGGCATGTCATCAGACTGTCCAAGTGGCGACCAGACAAAAATTCGACCTAGAGAATACCAAAACAGTTCACCATGTTTTAATTTGACAAATAAACTATTAACAACTCTTGATCTAGTAAATATTAAAATTGTTTCAGTGTCTGATTAATAAATACTTAATCTAGTGAATTGATAGCGTATATGGTGAATGAGATTTTTTATTATACAACATATAGAAGGTTTGATTAACCCTAAAGAAAATAATAAAAATGTATATTAAAAATAAATACTTAGGAATTAAATTTATTAATTTATTACTTTTATACTATGAAATAGCATTACCCAACCCTAAATTGCTTCAATTTGTATGTACCTGGCTGGCTTTAGTTTCTTAACCCTAAATTGTTTCAATTTGAATGTATAAAATAATAATGATATAATAATAAGATAGGTTTGGGTATAAGTAAAAAGTAGTACTATTTTGCTCAATAATCGACTGTTTCACTACTAACTACTCGCCAGCGGTATGAAATTTAATAAACATTAATTATTTTTTGAGTGAATATTTTGAGTCGGATAGGTTTTGTAATTGGATTAAGCCTATTTATGGGGGATTGTTTCAGGAAAGGAGATCCTGCAGTACATGGGGCCGCGCCCTCCAGTAGGCATTCATCGCTATATTCTAGTGCTATTCCAACAAAGGGGTCCATTGGGGCCTGTGCAGCAACCAGCATCACGGACTAACTTCAATACTAGGCGTTTTGCTGAACACCTTAACTTGGGTCTGCCTGTGGCTACGGTCTATTTCAACGCTCAAAAAGAGCCCGTCAGCCGAAGGCGTTGAGTGTTGACTGAATCCAAAATATATAAATATATATCGTTTATGGTAAGTAGGAAGAGTATTGACCTTCCTCTCGTTTAGCACTTTGGGAGAGTGTGTTTGTTTAATTAATTAAGTTTAGTTTTATGCAAGTAGTTTGGACAATTGTCATAGTAGTACACTAGTACGTTGGATAAATGTTCGCTAATGCCTATATATCGTTTATGCGTTTGGTCGCTTTAAATTAGATGCTTATTGCCAAAAAAAAATAAAACCAAATATTTTTTTAAACTTTAAGCTTTTTTTACTTTAGTTTGGATCAATCAATTTTGGGCTTTTATATATATATATAAAAGACAGATGCACTTATATTAATATAATTTTTATATATTTTTTAAATTTTTAAATCAAAATTGTTAGATTTAAAAATATTATTTTAATTAAAATTAGATTCAAAAGTTTAGTAAGAGTTATAATAAGTGTTACGTTGGTATAAATTAATTTTTTATATAAATATACTATTATTATTATTATTAGTTTGGTTCGACCAAAATAACAAAAAAAATGAGGAAAGAAAAAATAAAAATACACAAAAGAAAGAGAATGAAAATTTGGAATAAAAAAGAAATGGACGATTTGAATAAAGAGACAGAGAAAGCTGAGCTCTTTTCCTCTAAATTATCCAGGGTCTTTCTTTTCTTCGTCTTTCTCTCCGCTTCCTTGTAACAAGTTTTTTCATATTCAAATCAACAAAGCATCAGCATAAAAAAGGCCAGAGCTTGGGAAGCAAATAATACCCATGTCTCCGAGGCATGGCATGGCTCCTCATTTGGGTCCAGGCTGTAGGAGAGTGTTAAGAAGACCATGGCTGACAACCCAATTGTTATTTAGTTTAAGATTTGGCGCTTATGGGTTTAAATCTCTTAAAGTTTTTGGGTGAGTTGTTTTGTCAGTTGAGTATTTTCCAGAGATTTAAAATGTGTCCTTTTTTTTTTTAGAGACTGTTTCAGGTATTCTTTGGAAGTGAACACATGACGGAATTAGTTCATGGGAGGTGTGAAAGTTCAAACAGTAAGAAGGCTGAGAAGATCACTCAATCTTGTGATGATGTTGTTGCATAAATCTAAATTGGCTTCCTGGAATTTTAGAGTTGTTGAAATGATTTGGCACTGTTTTTTTGAAGGACATTGCCTATGTCATTGGAGTTGTTTGATGGTTGAGAATTTTTTTTAATGCCGGATTACGTGAGTTGTTTTTACATATTGGAGTTTAAGTTGGAAGGATGGAATAAGTGGAATCGGTGGCTGATCTTAATATATATTTATGAGGAGGTCAATTATATTATATATTTTATCTTTTGTAAATATTCTATCACATATATATACTAATAAAAAATAATAAAACACAAAATATATTAATAAAATTAAGCATGTAAATTTTACAATAAAACATTACTATGTATCATTAAAAATTTTAAGAGTAACACTTTGAAATTAATAGTAGAATTACTAAATATATAGTCTTTTAATGGCATAGAAGTTTTCTTTTTTTTTTATAATTTAAAATTGAAATAAAAGAGTATAAATAAATCAATTGTTAAGTAATATGTTTTATAAAAACAAGAAAAGCAAATATAATTTTAAAAGAATGAATTTGAAATTTTAAGATTAGTAGTTTTTTTTTTTTCCTTTTTTTTAAAATGTTAGAATCTCATTAAAAAAAGATTTTAGGATAGTATTAGATAGAGATCTAAAATAAAATTAAAAAAAAATTAAAATCCTATGAAAATAAAAATTGAAGTAAGCTGGAAAGAAATAGAAAACACATAATTATGACTTTATTGAAAATTAAAGTCTTATTGAGAAAACTAAAAAATTAATTTGATTTTTGTTAAGTTCACTTGTTATTTAAAACTTATGATAAATCTTTTAATTTTAAAGATTTTTAAGTAGTTATTAATTAATTAGTATAATAAATAAACAAATAATAATATGATTTTTATCTTTTTTTAATGATAATAATATATAAAATTAAATTTGTCATAACGTATAGATCTGTGGATCTATCGCTAGACATGAATTAGAGGAGTCGTTACCAATCTTTTTTGTTTAGGTGTGATTAGTCACCTGATCAAATCTGTCTTATTTAAAGATGAGTCTCAAGATTGATTTAGATATCTTTAAATAGTAGATTTAGATATCTATAAAATTAAATTTTAGATTCGAGAGTATGATTGTATGTGAGGAAAGTTATAGCACATTTACAACGTCCATCCAAAGATGGTACCAGTTTGATTCCAAATTATCCAAGTCTTAAAAAATGTTTATGTTTTTACCAAAATATTAAATATTAAAAATTAGTCTAAAAATTACCCCAATAGTTTGGTAACGACTTAAGATAATTCTTTCATCTCAAGAGTATTTATGGGGACTAGTGTCTCAACCTGAAGAGGCTCAATCATTAGATTTATTATAATATTTTATTTAAAAAAAATAAGTAAAGTCTCTTAATAATTTAGTGGGACTTACTTTGAAACAGATCTCCCAATAGTTTGGTGAGATTTTTATTTGAAAATGTTTAGAAAAATTTTATTTTTTCGAAAAAAATTCATTAAGTCTCTTAATAGTTTGGTAAGACATAATTTAGAAAGCAATCATTTAATCGTTTGGAAGATAAAAAATATTTTTTATTATTTTTTATCTTTTTTACTTTTTTTATTATTTTATTTTTGTTTTGAAAATTGATTCATGAAAGTTTCCAATAGTTTAGTGGATTTCATAAATTCACTTGAAAAAGATTTATTTTTATTTTTTAGCTTATTTAAAAAGATTTTTTTGAATAAAAATGGAATTTTGGAAAATATTTAGTAAAAATAAATAATTAATAAAAATAAAAAATGAAAATTAAATAAATTAAAAATATAAAATAAATAAAATCAAAAAATAAAAATGAAAAACCTACGATTCTGGTCTGATCAGTGTGTAGGTTGACATGCTGGTCAACGAGTCAGATTGTAGATCTTGGGCTATCCAAAATGCTGCTGTTTTGGGTAGTTATATAAGCCATCTTTCAGCATTTTGGCCTTAAATGTTCTTTGTGCCCTCTCTCTCTAATTTTTGTTTTCTCTACCTTCTCTTTAGGATAGCCAAGAATACCCACTGAAAATTGGAAATTCTTATCGATTTTTGAAAAAATCACTAAAAACTTGCTGAAAAATTCAAACTTCTACCAAAAAACTCATTGAAAAATTCATTTGTTCTTCCAAAAAGCCAGCTTTTTTCTAAAAAATTTCCAAAACTTTAAACCTAATTCCAAAAATCTAAATCCAAGCCCAAAGACTCCAAATCAACCTTAGATATCTAAATCTAAAATTCCTGAAACCTACAAAATCCCAGCAAAAACCCAAAACTCCTTTCCCAAAATTTTTTTCCTTCTTTCCACCCTTTCCTATGTTTTCTGAGAATTGTTCAATTTATAGCTGCCCTTAGAACAAATTTTAGGAAATGAATAGAACCGATCCCAAGCTTGAATCCTGTAATTAGATTCTGCCCAAACTTCAAATTAGGTCTAAGTTCTTTACTGATTGATTCGAAAATCCTCTGATTATGAATTAAAGCCTTTGATTATTAGAGATTGGATTCCTTTGATTCAGGAAATTCAATTCTTCAGTTATCTTAATCGATCAATAGTTAAAGAGGAAGAAAAAATAAATAATAATAATAATAATAAGAAAATATAATAATAATAATAATAATAATAATAATAAAAGAATATACTATAATAAAATATAATATAATATAATATAAAAATAATAGTAATAATGAAAATCGGTTCAATTGACCTTGAACACAAATAAGTGTCTACAATTGTCCTTTTTTGCATATCTCCGTTAAATAAGAATGATGCAAAGACCTAGATACCCACTCTATTCTACTCTAAGAATCAAATCAGTAAGCAAAAATGATTAAGACTAGACTACAAGTTAAAAAAATGATCTAAACTAAGTTGAAATTGGATGACTAGGACGAAATTGCAAGTCCAAAAGATAAAGTGATTAGGATCGAGTCGAGGTCAAAGATGAACGATCGAAATGAAATCATGAGTCTAAAAGATAAAACGATTAGGACCGAGTTGAGGTCGAAGATGAATGATTAGGATGAAACCGTGAATTAAGAAAATGATCTAGATTGAGTCAAGATCAGATGGCCGAGATAAAACCATGAGTCAAGAAAATAATCTAGACTGAGCTGAAATTATATGACTACTGAGTTGAAGTAAAAAATGAATGACCGACATGAAACCATGAGTTAAAAAAATGATCTGGACTGAGCCAAGATCAAATGACTGAGATGAAACCTTAAGTCTAAAAGACAAGCAGTCAGGATGGACTAAGTCGAGATCAGATGACTAAGACGAAACCGTGAGTCTAAATGATAGAGTGACTAGGACCGAGTCGAGGTCGAAGATAAATGATATCATGAGTAAAAAAATGATTTAGATTAAGCAAAAATCATATGACAAGAACGAAACCACCTGTCTAAAAGATAAAGCAATCAGGATCGAGTTGAGGTCAAAGATAAATGACTAGGATAAAATCACAAATCAAAAAATAATTTGGACTGAGTTGAGATCAGATAACCAGGACGAAATTGTAAATTTGAAAAATAAAGTGATCAAAACTAAATCGAGATCGTAGATAAATGATCGAGATGAAATCGCTAGTCAGAAAAATGATCTAGACTAAGCCGAGATTAGATGATCGAGACGAAATCGCAAGTTAGGAAATGAAGTGACCATGATTGAGTTAAGGTAAAAAATGATTGACTGAGATGAAATCATGGATCAAGAAAATGATTTAAATTGAACCAAAATCAAATGAGTGATAAATAATAATGCAACAATGCAAATGCATGTCCTATGTAGTGCCGATGTCATGAAATTTCAATTATGATGACAAGACTCTCAAGACTCCACTAGCCTTTCTTAACTTTTTAGTATTAATAATCTCAGAATAAATTTTGTCAATTGGTCCATGTT